GTTAGCGTGGCTATCGAGCAAGTTTTATCGGAATTACAGAGTATTTCTTCACTGGAAGAAGAGCAAAACACTGCTCTGGAGACTTTTGTTAGAGGAAAAGATGTTTTTGCTCTTCTCCCGATTGGTTTCAGCAAGAGTTTGATCTATCAAATTGGCTCCTCTTCGTCGTCACTCTGTTAGTACGTCATATGCTTTGTTGATCTGATTGGTTTATTTGGCCCGTCTATCACCAACATAGGCCAATCAGCTAACCAGTATTTTTGCCCCTTCCCATAATTACTTTAACGGAAGGTTTCCAGATGGATATGCGGAGCAAATCCATCTGGCGGAGTCAGGTTAGCAGGCAGGGGCAGATTTAGGAAATCTGGGGCTCTAGGCAAGCCATGCAGGGGGCCCTCTGAATTGAGAAGACAACACATAAAACAGACTCTTTATACAGATACAGAAATTTTAATAGAATAGACATACATTGTTTGTTCTACGTTTTGTCCCTCTCCTCTTGTCCCTTTTCTTGTTGTTTTCCTCTCTATGTTTTGTACTCAGCTGACTTTTCATGCTGTCTCAAAAGGAATGAAAGATTTATTTCCAAGCACTAAGCTCCCTGAGCTGATTGCTCCTTCCTGTGTTTCCAATAAGGCGACAGCAAATGTAAATATCACAGTTCTTCTTTTTACTGTAGACAAGCCATGATCTGCTTATCTGTTCTCCAGTTATCATTTGGATAAAATAATAGCTGCATGAATCATGACAGCAGACAAGATAGAGGAGAGCAGGAGGCGGGGTTACCAATCTACTCACTCTGGAGAGCAGGGTTCACTGCTTTTTATATGCCAAGTTGTACCTCATTCATTATACACATTTTATTGTTTCTTAAGATAAGATTAACTTTATTGTCCCAAAAGAAATCCCTAATTGTATTTTAGTGGTGGTACACACCATGTAAACAAACAGCACAGTTGCACTATAGCCCTATATTGTCACACTGACTGATTACAAGATTGTAGACACCTGTGATGCTAATTAGTTGACAATTAGATTTTTTTTTGTCTTTTCTAGGGGTACTAAGAGTTTTGTTCATGTGTGTACTTCCACTGGGTCATCTCAGGGCTGTATGCTAACAGTTGTTAGAGCAGCCAAAATCTGTGCTCTGATAAAAACAAAGATGTGATTGAAACAATGACAGTTTATGGTTTGTTGTGGGTGTATCTTTCTTTTGTTCATTATCTTTACTTTTTAGTTACAGATATCAAAAGAAAAAATAAGTGGCAGTTTCATTTTAAAGGAGCTGGCTGAAGTTCAGGAAGTAGAGTTTCTTTTTTCTATTTCAAAAGTATGACAGAATATTTGAAACACAGTTAGGAAGATATTCAGAGAAGGAGGATTTTTTAAACCTCTTCTTTAAAAAGTCATTAAAGTAGAAATGTTGAGAAGAAAGTTGAAATATAGTGTTGAGAATAAAGTCAAACAGTCCATTAAAAACACTTGAAAATGGTTTTAACAACGTGGAACTAAATAACAAGATATCTGCTTCACCATGTGCTGTTTGGAGACATTTGTAAGCCTACGCCCTTTTAAAGCGACTTTTTTAAAGGTATAGTGGAGGATGTTCTTCCAGGTGGATCATCAAAATAAGTGGTCCTGCTAATTGTCAATCATTCTGGTGATATGTTTACTCAAGGCCAAAATGCATGCTTATTCGCATTTTAACTTACCAGTGGTTAGTCTGACATAGTGGAAAAATTGCAAATCTTCTTTTGGAAAGTAAGCTTGTGTGAGCGATGCAAACAGCAACTTTTAAACAGAGCGTGCTCGAAATGAAATGGTCTCGTGCACGCTATCGCACGAGCTTTGGTCAATAGGCGTTACCTCTCGAGAGTGGGTATAGGATTGTGCTGCATGTGCATTTTGTTTAAAGTGGAGAAGGCGGGTCTTTTCAGAAATTTGAAAAAATCCTCCACTTAACCTTTAATGACCTGGTTCTGCTAGAGGTTTCTTCCTGTTAAAAGGGAGTTTTTCCTCTCCACTCTCGCTTCAAGCATGCTTAGTGTGAGGGATTCCCTTCTATTCAACGAGTCGATGAAATCAACTGGTTTTCCTTAGGTAGAAGATTTTGTATCAATTTGACTGTATGATCTGGTGAACTGTAAAATGCCTTTAGATGATATGTGTTGTGAATTGGCGCTATATAAATAAACTGACCTGAATTGGAGCTATAAATGAAATCTAACTGTCCCATGCAGGCCTCTATAGTATACTGTCCTCCTGTCTCCAAAGTGTCCCATTGTGATTTGAAGAAAAAGACATGAGTGAGACACTCACAGGCAGCAGCAGTGAACATGTGAAAGCAGTTACAATATGTGCAACACTGCCCCCTGGTGGCTGACTCAGGAACCTTACTGATCCCACTCTGTTCCAGACTCTGCAGATGGGCATCAGTCACTTCTCAGGACTCTTTGTATTGCTGTGTGTTGGAGTGAGCGGAGCTCTGCTGACCCTCGCGGGTGAACATGGATTTTATCGACTCGTCCTGCCGCACATCCGCCGCCGACAGAACCTAAAGTACTGGCTGCACACCTCCCAGGTGGGTTCCACATGATTATTCCAGCTCAGTGTTCTTAGGTCAGTGTGACTCTGGCCTGGTCCTCCTGTTTCTGATCCTAAAACTGAGTCTGATGTTTCTGTCTGACAGAAAATCCACCGAGCTCTCAACATGACGTATGAGGATGTTAAAAAGCAGCGAGCTGAGAAAGAGAAAAGGTTAGTTTGGCAGGTTTAACCCAGATTATGATGTTCTTTACTCCAAACATTTGTACAGTTTATACAGTTTATTTTAGTTGTAACATTTCTAATAACATGATTGTATTTATTATTATAGTATCAGACTTTGTTTCCATGAATTCACTGAGCTCATCTTTAGGCCCCTCAGGAGAACACGTCTTTTACAGCTAGCTGCCTTTTGTATCTCTGCTTCTGTCTCATTGAACACGAGTCAGCCTCCGCAGATGGCCGCTCAAACCGAGCCTGGTTCTGCTGGAGGTTTCTTCCTGTTAAAAGAGAGTTTTCCTCTCCACTGTCGCTACAAGCGTGCTTAGTGTGAGGGATTGCCTTTGAGTCAATGAGTCGATTCATTCAACTGATTTTCCTTAGATAGAAAACTGAATCAATGTGACTGTATGATCTGGTGAACTGTAAAGTGAACTGTAAAGATGACATTTGTTGTGAATTTGCGCTATATAAATAAACTGAATTGAATCATTTGAACACATCAGCATAAAGGATACCCAAACCCCCCCTGTTTTCTGTCTCTCTCTTCAGCTGTAACCTGGAGAAGCCCCAGACAGCTCACAGTAACCCTGTTACATTAGGCCCCCCGGGGCCCCCAGCCTGTGCTGCAACTGCCAAATGGAATAATGAAACCAGTAAGGACGGTCCAGCTGCTCCAGATGCTCGAGATTTCAAGCGGGTCCACTTCAGCCTGGAGACCCTCAACACCCGGCGCCTTCTTGCTCGTCTTGCAGCCTCAGAAGCAAAGGGGGCCGGGGCCAAAGGTGACGTGGAGGAGCCCATAAAGCCAAAGGGGGGCCCAACCAGCAGGTTGTGTGAGAATGGAGGCCCGGCAGCTTCTTTGGCCAGTTTGGTGCTCTCCTTACCCTCCTCCTCCTCTGCTAAACTCAACACACCTCTATCTGCTGCTTCAGCCCCCCCATCTGTAGCTAAAGCCCCTCCCCTTTCTGCTGTCACTGCTCCTCCAGTATCTACAACCCCTTCCATCCCGGCTCCTCCCCAGCCTGGAGAGCTGCAGGAGCTGCAGGAACAAATCGAGCAGATGAGGGAGAAGCTGAGAGTCGCTTTGGCTCGGAGGGCTGAGATCCAGACCACTTTGGCCAAACCCGTTTCTACGGTTACAACCAACCCAGTGCCAGAACAGATAACTACAACAGGGAACCCCCCCAAACCCTTACCAACCATCACCACAACAACAAGTGTTTCTCCTGACAAGAAGAGTGTCACAACCATGACGGTGCCCCCCCACAAGGTGCTGTCCAAAGTTCAGCCCCTCCGCAGCAGATTGTCCAATCAGAGGAGGTGATGCATTCCCCGGCTTCCACTGGACTGAGAGAAAAAGACAGATTTTATTCTGAAATGACATTGTTTAAATGAGAAACCAGCACAAAGATGTTATGAAAGCAGCTTGCATCCATCACCTTATTCATTGCTGCTGAGACTCTTGGTTAAATATTTTATTTTTTTAAACGGTTGCTTTAATTTTATTAAAACTGTTTTCACTTCATGTTTAAAATTGTTTCTGTAAGGATATCTGAAAAAGAGAACAAGCCGTTTCAGTCGGAATGAATAATAAAAGCCTCAGGACCAGGATGTGGATCCTGAGGAACTCCACCTTTAACAAACTGTCTTTTTATATTTGGTTGGTTGAGCTCAAATATGCAAACATGAAAACAAATGTTGCTGAATATATCAGAGGGATTTTTAACATGTTTGGTGTTTTTATGCAGTAAACCTATAAATTTGTCTAAAGTTTGTGTTTAAATAAAATTTATGGTGTTTATCTTTCTACTTTTGCCTTTCTTACTTATTAAAGCACCTAAGTTTTAAGATATGAGGCGGTTCAGGCCTTGTTAACGTGTACACAGCTCATTCAGTAACTGCTTCACTCAGTTTTGTTTTAATTCTATTAACATCTGATATTTCCTCTTAAATCTGATATCCGTTTAATTTTTAAACTCCAAACTAGAGAATAAAAGGTCTTCCGTGAAGCTCCAGCATGAACAAAGTCAAAGTAAACACCCGCTGCTGTTAAAATATAAGATTGTTTTCAGGATATTGACTAACTTCTCACATCCTTGAATAAATAAAAAAAGTTTTGACATAAAACTATTTTTATTCTCAAACCTTTTTCTTTTTAAGCCTTTAATCTGATTAGATGCTGATCTGCAAACAGATTATTAGATGACAGCATGTTAACTGGAGCTTTCTGACCTTTAAACCTCATTAAAACCCATCAGCTCCCACACAGACAAAGTTTAATTCATGAAATGTGATAAAAGTTGCTCCTAAAGAATAAATCCGTGCAGGTGGAAAGGATCCATGGATTCATGTGGCTTCATGTGGAGATGATTGATGCAGGACAGCAGCTGGAGCAGAGAAACCTGTTCTCCTTTTCAGGGGTCAAAACAAAAAGACACCATTCTGTTCTTGACACTGATTTTTGATGTTCTGACAGTTCTGTGGTGCAGTGAGGTTCAGGGGCACCGCGGCAGAATTACAAATAAATATCTTTGTTTTACTTGTATTTATAAACCTGAGCCTCTTTGCTTTTTTACTCTTGTTTAAAACAAGATCAGTGCAAGACAAAAGCACATTTTAATCACCTCAATTAGGAAAGAGGATCAAATACGTGTGCAGCCACCTTTTAAGTTGTTAGTACAAACTATTTGTAAATTATAATCAACATTTTCTCCAGATAAGGTTCTTCTAGTTCATCTCTGCTGTCAGGTCCTCTTTGGTCCGTTCATATTAGCTATGTATGACTATTAATAGGATGTGGAACAATACAAGGTGATATATCTGGACAAAGATCTTATGGCAGAAACACTGATGTCATCACACAGGGACCGAAGGTGAGGAATGAAGCGTTTATGTATATCTGATAATGTTACAGCCACTGTTAAGTTTACAGTTATTTGTTTGGAAGGAATGAAAAATTAACTCCTTAAATTTTGAAGGTAATGTTTATTTTAGGAATTTACTGGATCTGCTCTTGTTTGTTGAATCAATGAACCTGTGATCGACCTCATGCTCTGCTGAAGAGAACTGTAGACCCAATTTAGCTTAATTACTTCAAGGATGAGAAGTAACTAGTTACATTTACTCAGTTAAAGGAGTAACATTTTGACCAAAAGAATATGCTTTTAACGATTAGATTATTGTAACAATCTATTGCGACTCTGCTGAATAACAAGCACATTTTTTAAAGTGCTCTAGATAAAGACACAGTTCATGTTTGTCTTATATGAGCCGTGTCAATAGAAGGGCACGCTTATAGACAGCAAAGAGTAAATATTGGACATTTTATTGCTTTTTTATTACAATATTTTTGTTTTATTACATTATAGCCTTTAAAAGAGTCTGTACATAATTGACATTTTGGTCTGTCTTTATGACAATATTAAATCTCAGATGTTTTAGTACTCAGTAGGTGAGAGTGGGGATGGTTACAACTGTTTTTATTTTTCCCTTAAATTCTCACAGCCTCTTTTTATTTGAATGACAAAACTTGAACATGGTAAACGTACCTCTGTACCCTAAACACCCATCAGAAGCCTTATGTAAAGCAGGTAACACGTAGTTGTACGGTTGAAACTGTGATTTATTAATAAAACTCATTTTGGATCACACTATTTTATCTAATTACCTGCTTATTCAACTTTGGATTAAACCTTTAGAGATCAATTTGATAAATAGCTGCCCCTCATAACTACAATCTTTAAACTTGCTATACTTGCTTAAAACATTAGTTCTCCCTTTGTGTTTAAACCTGTTGAGCCAAGTCACGTTCTCTCTGAAGGTATTATGGGATGCGTTTGCTGTCTTGTAGGAACAAGTAGGGGAGAAGGGAGCCTGTGCAGCCGGATCCTCATAAGTCTGACTTAATGCTTATTGGTTAAATAGTGTTGCAACTGTCCCCACACTTTCGCATACTTGTCACCTTTTAATCAAATACCTTCAATTCTTAAAACAACATAACATTACACATATGATAAAGTTCCTCTTACTGTTTCAGGGACTAACTGGATACTTACACCTGGCTTGCTGAGCCTGTCTTGGCCTTCGTGGAACAGATGAATCCAGAAAGAAATGATCAGGCTTAATCAAGCTGGGCTTTATTTCTGATTGGCTGTAAACGGGTTCCTGGGTTTTATCTAAGGAGTTTATGGACCATTCAGGTGTTTCTGCTCATCCCTCCACCAAAACGGAGTCATATTGGTTTAGACAGGTACAAATAAAGGCCACAGAAAAGGTTTTCACAACGTTTTATTTTTGACCTACAGGTGACTCAGCTCTGATCAGCGATACCTGCTCAGTCTGCAGGAGGCCCGACCAATTCTGCAGGTAAAACCTCCCACAGCTGCCGGTTCTGCTGGTTTAAATAGGTTCTAACAGGCTACAGTCATCCAGCAGAGAGGCACCAAAAAGAACCACTGCCCACCCCAAGCCCCGCCCACAGTCCCACGCCCAGGAACAGGTGTTCAGGCCCCGCTCTCCTTCCCGGACAGTCGTTGGAAACAGAAGAATCAGAATACCGAATCAGGAAGGTTCTGGATCACTGGTTCTGGTTCTGAAAGCTGAGCTCATGCAGATGATTTAGCCTGATGTTGCTGATTATTTTTCAAATTCATTCCAGATGAGGCCTGAACACGTCATGACAAGAGGCCACGCCCTCCAAATAGAGACAGGGCCTATGCAGCAACGCACAGCCGATCATCTCGCTCTGCCTGCGATCCGCCTGGCCGACCGGTCCAACAACAGCTTCCTGTTCTTCCTCCATAATAAAAGCAGATTTAAGCAGTTCTATTCGTGCTTCAGTCTGTCAGAATCAGAACCGATCTCGGATCAATAATCACTCTGAGGGGTTCTGCTGGTTTACTCAGCAGCAACCGGGACAGTTTCATTTCTATTCATCGAGTGTTTGATCTGAAATACGTCATTTGGGTTTGCAGACGGGTCACAGAGAACAGAACAAGAACCAGAGCTCAGCTTAGCGACCGTCAGGAGGGAGCTTCCCTCGGATCACTTTATAATTAGTTAATTGATCAATCAGTTAATTGGAGTAAAGTGCAGCTCAGACTGTTTGTCTGTCGGATCAACGATCAACCAGCCGGATCAGCTGAAGCATCTAGTCGTCATGGTGACATGATGATGTCAGCAGGAGCTCACCTGGACGCTCACGACGTACCGAGGGGGGCGGAGCTCTGTCGCTGCGTCTCAGGTGACTGGCAGTCTGTGGGAGGGGCTGGGCAAGCCGTGTTAGGGGAGGACACACCTGAGGGCCCCCCCTCCTCCTCATGGCCCCTGCTGCCCCTCTGGGCGGCTTCAGCTCCGCCCACTTCAGGCCTGTCAATCAATGGAGCAGCTTCAGGAACTCCATCTGCTGCTGCTGAAGATGATGCTGCGGTTTCTGTCGTTCCTCCCACCCAGAACTCCACACCAATCTCTGCTCCTGCTGCTCCCTGACCTCCTGCTGCTCCCTGACCACCTCCTCCTGAGTCGACGGAGGAGCTCAGTGCCTCAGTGATGATGGCTGCCGTCTGAGCGACCCAGTTTAGCTCTGCTCTGACCTCTCCCGCTCCGCCTGCTGCAGCCGAGGATGATGATGGGAGGGCGTCAGCCTGCAGAGGCTCACTCCCAGCGTCTCCTGATTGGCTACTTCCAGCTGGTGCCGGAGCAGCAGCAGCAGCAGCGGCGGCGGCGGCACCGGCGGCTGCAGTGTTGTTGTTGTTGAGGTTATCCTGCAGAGCTGTCTGGTTCTGACCCGCCTGCTGATTCTGGAGAAGCATCTCTTGGATCCGGATCTGCTGCAGGATGGCAGGAAGCTCGTAGTGGTGGAAGAAGTAGATCATCGAGTGCTGCAGAAAACCAGCAAGAGAGAGAGCATTAACCAATCAGAGAAAAGCATCAGCCTGATTAAGAAGGGGCGGAGCTATATAAGCGCCAGGAGCAGAAGAATAAAGGAGTGGATTTAGTTCATCATTGTTGCGAGAATAAAACATATTTTGTAAAAATAATAAAATAAAATAAAAAAGAGTTCATTTAAAATTTTTACTTTTTACAAATGTAATATTCTCCTTTTTTCTATTTTTGTTCAAATTTTGTTAATTTTCTTTAAACACATTTTATATATTATTTTTTCCAATTTCTGTTTTTCAAACAGCATTTCAAAAACCATTTGAAAAAAATTATAATAAAAGCAGAGAAAAAGCAGTTATTCTCATTTTTTTCCCCCCCATTTCCAAGGTTCTGACCTGGATGAAGAGCCAGGAGGTGACCAGAGCCAGGCTGCTGTACTGCCCGTTGAAGCGGTAATGGTAGGCGTAGAAAGCAAAGTGGTACAGATAGAAGAACCTGTAACAGAACCAGGTGAGACCATGTCAGAGGGCTAGCTAGTTGGGTTAGCAGGAAAAAGGACAGAATTGTTTATATTGAATGTGGCGTTGGTTTGATCTCCTGGGGTTACCGGGAGAACTGGAACCATAAAGATGGAAGAATTAATCCAGTAAATACAGATTCTACCTAAAGGCGGAGAACCGCCCCAAACATCAGGACACGCCCCTAACAGACTGGAGACACTGTGTGCTAGAAAGGTTCTGCAGCGGCGCTCCGAACTCACCGCAGCCAGTGGCGCTTGCTGGTGTTGGTGTGGCAGCAGATGGCGTCGTACTGGTCAGCCAACCAGACGATC